TTCACAGCGGGCACAGCATTAATTTGTTTCACCATGTTTTGCACATCAGGTGTGAGATGGGCATGCATGGAGTCACAGATTAATGGTGATGGTGATGGGTGGAAAAAAAACACCTGGTCTCCTTACATTCAGCCACTCTTTCATCATCTCCTCAATGAGGTGGTCTCAAAAGTCGCAGTTACAACACACATAGGGCGCACCGCACATTTTGAGGGGAAAAAAAGACGTTTAAGTGCGCCTTATAGTCGTGAAAATACGGTAGTTGGGAAAATCTGAATATTGGCAAGTTTTTTGCCGTTTTTTGCTCTCTTCTCTTCAACTTCCCTGCACTTCAGATAAACTGTAATTATAACGGACCTTGTTGGGAAACGCAGAGTCAGTTCGCCTTTACATTGCAGAGGTGTGAGGGAGGTCAGTAGATTATTGTGAAGGTGATTCAAATCAGTGCCTTCATTAATGCAACCTCCACCTCTGTAGATTCAAATCAGACATTCCCCTCCTCAATTAGCTATCAGTGGCTGCTTCCTAACTTAATAGCACTTATCTAGCCTTGTGGAAAGGTCAAGCCCACAGGGGGACTATGGTGAGTGGCTGAGTAATATTTGGCACTTCATACTGAAGTGTGAATCTGTCTGTGTGTCTGAGAAAGAATAGGTAGGTTATTGAATTAGGGTGACAGGAAAGTGACTGGAAACAAATCTCTAGTCAGTGCTATAACGTGCATGATAAATTATGCTGAACAATAGAGTGAATGGGAATAGAATAGAATAGGCATAAGTTTTCAAATAGAGATACTTTCAACTAAAAATCTCAATCTACTAATTAACTACAAAAGCTCAAAGAATACCTCACCCTGAACCTTTTCACATTCTTCATAACCAGGTAATAAGCCTGCGTACTTTCTATAAAGACAGGAGCTTTACCTTCTGGGCTCGACGTTTGTCTGCCCTCTGGTTCTGGTGGTAGATGCGGCTGAAGTTTGACACGATGACGGGGACAGGCAAAGCAATCACCAGCACGCCGCTCAGAGAACAGATGGAACCAAAAATCTTCCCAGCAATGGTTTTTGGTACCATGTCACCATATCTAAAGATAAATGAGAAGAAAATATATATTTTTTTCATTTATTACAGGAACAAAGCAAAATTGTAGCATTTCTGTTAATAAGAGTGCCAACTTTGCAGAAGAATAAAATTTAAAAGACATACAGCACTGTGAAATAATGATCTCCCCCCTTACAGTTCTATTTTTTTCCTATTTCTTTTGGACAAAGAGAAACTTAGTAAAGAAACAAGGTAATGTTTCAAATGAAAATTTAATCCACTGAAAGAAAACAGCTGTTTTAAAAAAAAAACTACAGTATGACAAAGAACCCCCCTTCTGCGCTTACATGAAAGCGCAGAAACTATTTGTTTAAGATAACATTTTATGCTATCATCATCATCATCATCATCATCATCATCATCATCATCATCATCATCATCATCATCATCATCATCATCATCATCATCATCATCATCATNATCATCATCATCATCATCATCATCATCATCATCATCATCATCATCATCATCATCATCATCATCATCATCATCATCATCATCATCATCATCATCTCAGTCAGATTGACCACAACAAAACTGTTTGTGTTGGTCCCTTGCTTTACGGTCTGAAGAAATACCTGTTGCATAATCTCAGTATGCCTGAGGTCACAAAGAAAAATAATTATCACTCAAAATTCTTTGTTTGGCTTTGTTTAATTTGAGTAACTCTTTTACAATGTTCTCGAATTTTGTTTGATATGGTAATAATAGGATGTTTATTGAATTGTTTTTGTTGTATTCATGTTGTCAAACAGGTTAATTCTACATATTTAGCAGTTATGTGGCCTGAGTTTGGCTTCACGCTGTTAAACATCCTCTGTAAATATCTTATTATGGGTCATTCTTTATTTATACATAACTTTCTTCATTAGATATGGTGGGATGGGTTCTTTGGATATTTTTGTGTTACCAAAAATTATTTTCTCATCTGTTTTTATGGCTTTAGATAAACCAGGTGTTTTTCATTAATTTTCCTCACAGACAGAGGTTATCATATTTCATTTTGTATATAGATTGTGCCTGTTTTAGCTTGAATACAGCCACGATGATGAATCCAAAAACTCTTTGTAGCTCATTTAAAAAAGCAGTATTTTGTCATACAGAGTAATTCATCCTCACACTATGTGCTCTGCCCTCCTAATGTAGGAAGCAGTAAGTCATCCTGCTTCTGCTCATCAAAGAGGTACTGAAAAGGAACAACGGAAGCAGTCGTGAGAGAAAAGCCAACCTCCATCCATTAATTTCAAATCACAGAAGCTGCCTTATTGAAGGCTGCTTATGCATAATACCTGATAAAACCGCTACAGCGTTCCTTTCAGATCAGAAGAGACAAATTGATCATTATAAAGAAAACATCAAAGTCACAGGTACAAGAACAGGGTCGGAATCTTATCACGTCTTTATTTTTTGGATTAATAAAACTGGATCAAACATTTCTGTTTTTTTTTAGATAAAACCTGAGATTACTGTTTTCTTGTAGCCACAGTCTTAAAATTTGCATAAAACATACCACCACACAAGTACACTGCCAAGAACAATTTCTCGCTCTACATTGTCATTTCAGACTACAAAGGCTGAATTATCCCAGCACCTAATGCAGTGGGGTTTTCTGAGCAGAAATTCAAATTTTAATCATAAGTTGTGAGAGTGCACTGATGAGCAAGAATACAAAACAGTTTAAGAGTGAGAAAGTTTAGATTTCAGAAGGTCTATCCATGATACTTTAGCAAACTATTTAATATGTAAAACCATAAGGGCAAATAATGTGCGCAAGTAACAGATTATAAGATGCATGTAAATATCTATCATTGCTTAATTTATATGACTTTTACTTGTTTAATTCTTCTTTATATACCTTTTTTTGAGTTCTCTCTATTTTGTGTTGTGGGCACATTGCAGTGTTTCTGAAAAAACCTTCTGCGGCTCTTGACAGAGTTTTGTAAGGTTTAAACAAAATGCAAGAAGCTGAGCAAGATCAAAGAAGCATCATTTCAGACTGATAATATGTTTGTGAGTAAGGAAAAGAAGCATATAGAGGAATCTATCTGATCTCTAAACAACAATAATTTCTCCATTTCTTTTAGGTCATGGTGAACTAATACACCAGAACAATAAGCAGAGGCAGTAGGAGTTTTTATTTATTTAATTTTTTTTCAGCTATACAATCTGTATTTTGAAGGTTAAAAAACAATACTAAGAAAATTCCTTATTTTATGGTAAAATGTAAAACATCTATCTGTGGGCTCTGTCTTTTTCATGCAGACATTCTGAATAGGCACTTATGTCTAAGGTAGAACTAGGAAAAAGTGATGTTCCTTTTAAGTTAACATATATAACAATATCAGGAATCATTTTTAAACTACGTATTATAAAACCAAGATGAAAGCAAATGGCAGCCACTCCAAATGGTCTCAGTCTAGGTCTCCCATTATAAGGAAACCTCCTGAAAACAAAAAGTAGACACACTCAGAACTGTAAACAAATACTGAGATGCAATAATAATACAATAGCTATCAATAATGTTCAAGCATCATACAAATATTCTATATATAATTGTCATAAAATCCGAGGTAAAACACAGAGGAATGCTGGAATTTCCATTTTTATATATCTATTATTATTCTGTTATTATTGTTCTGATGTTCTTTGTCCATTGGGATTTTTTTTGCTTAAGAAAATAAAACCCTACAGTCCATGTGTGTAGTAAATACTCCATACTTTATATTCATTCTAAATAGCATTCCACTGACATGTTTTATATGTTTATGACATTGATATCGGTCACGTTTCCCTTCACCATCGTCTCATTAGGTATTTCATTTAAAATATAGGAGATGTTTAATAAAGCATGTAAAAACTTGGTATCACACAAAGCTGAACTACTAACCAGGCACAGTTACAATTGTGTATGAAAAAAGCTAATAAGTAAGAGCAGTCTTTTTTGCCTGTTTGTCTTAGTCTGTATTTAATACATTTGAAGTGTCGAGTGCAAAGACACTTCAGGTTTCTTCCTATTAAAAGGGAGTTTTTCCTCTCCACTGTCGCTACAAGCATGCTAAGTGTGAGGGATTGCATTCGAGTCAATGAGTCGATGCAATCAACTGGCTTTCCTTAGATAGAAAACTTTAAATTAATTTGACTGTATGATCTGGTGAACTGTAAAGTGCCTTGGGATCATGTGTTGTGAATTGGCGCTGTATAAATAAGCTGAATTAAAATGAATCAAACTCACATGACACAATCTGAAAAGAGTGAATGGAGATTTTCTCTGTTTGAATCATAGGTGAAATATGTTTTTATATTATAAAGTAAACAGCCTCTCTTTTTTTAAATGCTATGCTATCAATGTTGCTCACACATCTTTACTTAAAGATATCTAATAAAAATTTTTTAATTAAAAATATTTTCTTTACCTGTTTTTCTTGTTCATTTTATTGTATTCATTAGGAATGACAATCATTGGTAAGAGAAAACAAAATGAGGACTTTTTGTTATCTTTTATCATTTGGGTGAGTGGCGGCCTAGTGGTTAGGGCATTGTGCTTGGAATCCAGAAGTTCTGAGTTCAAGTCGCACTCCCACGAATTGACACTCTGGCTCCCTGAGCAAGACCCTCAAACCCACACTGATCCCTGGGAGCTGGCAATGGTTCCATACCTGTAGTTTAAATTACAATACTTAATTTTGTAATAAAAAAACAGAATAAATATAATATGACTACTGTTTTACAAGAGTACATATGAGTCAATATGATAAAGGTGAAGGAACAGCTTCAATTATACAGCTTTCTAAAACCGTACTTAGCAAAGATTCTAAAATGAACATGAACTGGAACAACTTTGTGTTTTGAACTATGAGTTGTTTCACGACCCCGACTGTTGCTTTTTTTTTTTTTTATCAGTTTCATAAAAGACAATGAGAGAATATAACCTCTCTTTTCATGGCCCTGTATGCAACGTGTTATTACTTGACATGCTGTTATCTTATTCTATTATGCTGTTACTCATTTAGTAAACCTTAAATTAAATAAACAAAAAGCTAAATTAAATTCTAACAAACCAAAATTTCAGAGATTAAAGCCCTAAAATGTCCTGCATTTAGCTAATTAATAAAAACACAAAAGAGATCACTAGTCATTGTGATCTTCCAATTATATTGTTGGATTTGTGCCCACTAAACCTCAAACTCTCCAAACAGTATCAAACGGGAAAAAGCTAAAAAAAAAATTAGGACCCACATAAAAAAACAAAACAAAACAAACAATACGAATTTAGAGTATACCACAAGGTCTAATGTAAGGAAACAAAACTCATATAGTTTTGTTTGAGTAGTTTAGAATTTTTGTTAGAAAGCAAAAGGCTGTTTCTTTTGTGCAATGCATTATGTAAAACTACGTATAATTTATTAAAAATTAATATGTTGTTTGGTTCAAAGTAGATAAACCAAAGCTGAGTAGAGGTAAGCTGCCAGCGCTTGTTAGCATTGTGTGCCTGCTACTTGTTTTGAGTAGAAATACAAAAAAGAATGGTAGTTGTCAAGAGCAATGAGTGCACTATACGTTTTTTGAGTACATTAAGTGTCAAAAGGTCAAATAAGTTTCATAGTCAACTTTCCAAAGCATGCTGTCTTTCATTCATCATCCTCTTTGCAGCAGTTTAACTTGTTTTACTCATGCTTTTTAGAATAAACTCTCAATGTTTAGACCAATTTCAGCAGCCTTCTGGTGGCAGGTTAGTTTGCCCTTCATGTTAGCTGTCCCTTGCTGAGGTAGCCAGGCCTCTAATTTAAACAGTGGCTCATAGAGGTTATGATGGATGGTGCTTTCTTTCCAGTGACAGCAGGTCACACAAACTCATATCCCACATCTCTTATGTGCCTTTCTGTGTAATAACATACATCAGATTGTTTCTTGCTGTTTCTTTCCAGTTTAATCCCTTTCCACCCCTGTTTTTCCTTCGTTCCCTCCTTCTTGTTTTAGTTGTTA